CCCCAAAACCCCAAAACCCCAAAACCCCAAAACCCCTTTAAGCTTAAAATAATAAACTTTATGAAAATGCAGACTTCTACTAGACTTCCTTCAAGTCCGTTTAGAGTAAGCCTTTTTGCTGCCAGATTACCTGAAATTGAAAATATGTATAGGCCAAAGCCTTGTGGTCGTGTTTATTAGAAATTTAGAACTCGTCTTTGTGGCAAACCTAGCTATTCTCTAGATTGCCTTGGACTTTGGAACTACACATGAATTAGTAGGATTATAAAGGACTGAAAGATCTACTCGAGTGCATAATCAATCTGATAACTTCTTTATACTTTTAAAAACTAAATTATCATTTTCTAATATATTTATAGAAAGAATACATCAAATCACTAGTCCAGAACCAACTAAAATCTAAAAAATTTATTAATTTCAAGAGCACATTTTAAGAATCCCAAAAGATCTGTTGAAAAGTACGTTCCAAAAATGCTAAAATCTTTACTCTAAAATTTGCCTTCTACGCTTCTTAAACCCAAAATCTCTTCTATTCTTCCCAAAGCCTAGCCTACACTCCTCAGTTGCGATTTCCTGATTTCAGCACGATCCGTTCTGAACTCCTTGTATGAAAGTTTTGTTGATGGCTTTATAGCAGGAGGCTTCAGTGTGAGAGCCTAGCGAGGCTCAGGCAGAAGAATAGTTCTGTGCTGGTCAAGAGAGGTAAATATGATCAATTTAAAGGTAACTCATATCTATCCCTCTTAAAATTCACGACTATAGATGATAAAAGCATCAGATCTCCTTCCCCCAACAATTTCGCTCTCAAAAAATCATTCAAGACCTCAGATTTTTATTTGAAAAATAAAAATTCTTTATCAAAATTATCCAAATAAATCACTTCCAAATATTTTCAGCATGGATGATTCCGAGGATAACAGTCGTTCAAAATCAATTTTTATCAGAAAGATACAACCCTTCCAAGCAAAAATAGAGAAGTCTACACTTAGAAAGATAGAAGAGTTTAACACCAAGTACAAGATATTAGACAAAAGCTCGAAGATGCATAATTTTATGCAAAACATGAGCTATGAGAACCCTTTCTATGATACCCACACCAGCTGTAAATAAAATGTCCAATGAGCTAAATCTGATCCGTATCAATAACCATAGTGTTCAGAGGAAGAAACAGATAGAAATGGGAGAGCTTGTAAGCAACCTGAAGGATAAATATGGTACACTTTAGCACTGATGTCTAGTCCGAAAGAAGAAACTGGTTCCTCCTACAATGGATGAAATCACTAGGTTTAATACTTATTACACTAAGCAAAAGCTTCTCTTTCCATCTTCCAAGAACAATTCACCAATAAAGTATAAAAACTATGACCATCTTTCAAATGCAATTTACTCAAAGTAAGAACAGAGGATGACCTATAGATATAATATCTCAGATTCATTGGAGGCAAACGCAAGGAAGATGAACAATAAGAATCCCAACAGAGAAATTCTCATTAAAAGATAGAAATATTTTCAACAATTGCTACCAAAACAGGGGTTTTGGGGTTTTGGGGTTTTGGGGTTTTGGGGTTTTGGGGTTTTGGGGTTTTGGGG